AGATGAAGAAGCTGGCGAGGCGGCACCAGCAGCAGCAAGAGCAGCAGAACTCCCAGCGGCTGGGCCAAGGTGAGTGGGCACAGCGGGGACTCTGCCAGGGCCAGGGCGCAGGGCCAGGCTGTCCCTCTCAAGACGCCCAAGGACAGAGGCCAGGGGCCTCCTCCTTGAAGCAGCCGGATGCAGAGAACTTGAGAAGTAGTGGGGCCCAGGAAAGTGGGGAGTGAGATGGCAGCATCAGGGGCTGGAAGCGCAGCATTCCCACCCTGCTCCCCACCCACGGGCCAGGCCCTGTTCGTTCTTTCTTTCTTTCTTTCTTTCTTTCTTTCTTTCTTGCCCTATTCTTTCTTTCTTTCTTTCTTTCTTTCTTTCTTTCTTTCTTTCTTTCTTTCTTTCTTTCCTTCCTTCCTTCATTCCTTCCTTCTTTCTTTTTTTGGTACTGGGAATAGGAATCAAACTCAGGGCCTTGCACTTGCCAGGCAGGCGCTGTACCACTGAGCTGCATCCCTGGCTTAGGCCTGTTCTTCAGCATCCTGCTTGCTGCCTGACTCACTTCCTGTAGATCCCACGGGAAGAGAAGGGCCCTGCAGGGGACAGCTGCCTACAGTCTCACCTTGGGGAGCTGAGTCCCATGAGATACGGGGGACAAAGCCAGGCCTCAGCCCCAGAGCAGGGTTCCAAGCCTGTGCTTCAGCAGGGTGACCCTACCCACAGCAGTCAGGGCCAGCGTCCAGGGCCAGCGGGGCAGGGTGGTGAGGCGCTTAGGCCAGCTCCTGCCCCGAGCCTTAGCTTTACCCAGACGCTTTTCCCATATCCAAATCTCCGGGCGCCATGGGACACGGAGCCTTCAAGGTCATGAAGAGAGGGTGCCGGGGGTTCCAAGAACCCTGAAGTGAGAGAGAACCCCCCGCACACACCAGGCAGATGCAAGGGCAGCCCTTCCCCTGAGGACTCTGAGACAAGGCCTAAGGACATGGCCCTGGAGCCCGTTCTTCCTGTCATCTCCCCGTGCCCCTGCTGGGGCTGCAGTCACTGCCTCCCCGCCCCCCCAGCCAGCCTCAGAGCTGTGCCTCGCCACCATCTGGGCCTGGCTTCTTCCTAGACACCATCACCAAGAAGGCCCCATCCCCCGGAGCCCACACTGTTCCGTGTCACTCCCCACCCCATGCTGGCCCTTCTGCTCCCACCCTGGGTGCACCCACTTCGCCACCAATCAGGGGATGGTTTTGTGTCCTGCATCCTTTAGTGCCCACTCTTTCAAATGACCACCACAACCCCAAGCTGCCTGAACTTCTCCCTCCCGCTCCCTCCCCATGCCGTGGGTCCCCAGCTGGACTTTTGGATCCATCTTTCAGTTCCTCGCTCCCCAGCCCGGTGCATCCCTCCCAGTCAGCTCTTTGGATGGGGTGGGGCTCCCTCCAGGAAGCCTTCCTGGACTCTTTGGCATGGATCTGGCCTCACCTGGGTGCTCCCAGGTGCCAGGCATCCTTGCGGTGTGTCCAACCTCATTGCCTGCTGAGGGATCGGTGTCCTCCAGGGCCGAAGAGGGAGCCTCCCTGGCTTTGTGGAAACTGAGTCTGGGAGAAGTGCTGGAGGGACTGTCTGGGCCACCTGGCCAGAGACGGGCCCCTGAGCGTCCCCTGGAAGGACACGGGGGTCTTCCGACCTTGGGGGACAGCTGTGGGGACTTCCGGGACGGGCAAGTGCACGTGGTGAAGGTGTGCGCTGTCCCCAGAGGTCCTGTCCAGCCGCATGGAGGGCATGATGGCCTCGTACACACCGCTGGCCCCGCCGCAGCAGCAGATCGTAGCCATGGAGCAGAGCCCCTATGGCAGCAGCGACCCCTTCCAGCAAGGCCTCACGCCGCCCCAAATGCCAGGTGACCACATGAACCCCTATGGTAAGCCGCCCTGCCCCCGCTCCCTGCCGCCCCGCCCCACCCCCCGTCTGGCCAGGTGGCC